TTGAGTGGGCTGTTTTCCATCAATAATTCTGTTGTAAAGATTTTGCCTATAACGCTTAAACATCTCTTAAAGTGAAAAATAATTTAACCCTGAGTTAAAAGGATCCTGCGCCTCTGGGTCACGCAGAGAACCCGAGTCCAGCACCAGTCGGCGCCCGAGCTCTGGAGAGCTGAGCGCCTCTAGCGCCTGAGTTTGCTCTCCAAGCGTCTGGTCTCACAGGGCAGGGATGGGAAGGAGTCTTTCCGGGTGGAGGAGGTGGTGGGGAGGAGTCTGGGTGAACTGCTGACTGCTCGGCACCAGCACAGTCATGGGTCAAGACTGCTCCCGACACCTCCATCCTGGGACACAGGCTGTGCATCCAGAAACTCAACCCAAGCTGCTGAGACACCATCAACCCCACTCACTTCCCCAGACTGCCCTTCTGGCCGCTCTGTGGCACTCAGAGCCACAACTGTTCTCACGCTGCTGTCTCCTGCTTCCCTTGGTTTTACTGTGGTCACTCATCTCTCTGCAGCCCTATTCTTATTAGCAGTCACCTCAGGATTGCCATGAAAAAGTGTTTCCCTGCTACCTCACACATACAGCACTTATGTTAAAACCACAGAAAATGAATTCTGTAAATAAATGTTTGAGGAATGTTTGTAGCTAAATGTTCTTCTTTCCATATGCACGGATGGCATCCCACGGACTGCAAGGTCTGGGAATCTGACCACACAGCACAGCGTGGCTACGCAGCTACACATTCTCTTTTCCACGTGCATGGCTGACATTCGTGGACTGAGGTCTGGGAATCTGCACAGCACAGCATGGCTACGTAGCTACACATTCTCTTTTCCACGTGCATGGCTGACATTCGTGGACTGAGGTCTGGGAATCTGACCACACAGCACAGCGTGGCTACATGTTCTTATTTCCACGTGCATGGCTGACGTTCCGTGGACAGCGAGGTCTGGGAATCTGACCACACAGCATGGCGTGCCAACAGCAGCTGAAGGACGGCCGCAGCTGACAGCTCTCACAGCTGCCCAACTCGCCCTGCTGTGCCTCACCTGCCTTTGCCAGCATCACCAAGGGCTACCATGTAAGTCATTCTACTAACTGGGATGTCCATGGGACCAACTCCTGGCAATAATTCAACTAGAATTCAATGACAATCCTTCCCCACTGAAATTAAGTACCTAACATTTTACGTGTAGGATTTTGTAGGAATTAGCAAATGCATACACAGCAGGAATTTAAACTCTTGATTAAGAACCTAACTAATTCCCTTAATGGACAAACAGATCCCACTCTAGGTCCATTTTAGCTCAACTTGTTTCTCTAACGCAGCCGGCAGCTTAGTCATTGAACGATGGGGCCCCATACACTTTCAAGTACAAAACAAAGCTATGAGCACACTAAGACCAAAACTACTGACAAAAGGCAAGCACAAGAACGAAGACACAGTCTACCGTTCCCTGCTTTCAACAGTCAGGAGCTACCGTCCTTATTCCAATGAGACACAGTCTATTGTTCCCTGTTTTCAATAGTCAGGAGCTACCGTCCTTCTTATTCCAATGAGACACAATCTACTGTTCCCTGCTTTCAATAGCTGGGAGTTACCGTCCTTCTTATTCCAGTGGAGTGTCTGTCATGACAAACGGAATTACCTAAGTGAAAAAAACTAGAATAAAATGACATGGTATCTTTGCAGTATAATAAACTGACTCCAAATTTGATATAAAACAGCATGTCAATTCACACAAGCCATTTGGAATTCTTAAGAAATAACTATTTTGAAATCTGTGGTTCTCTAAGACTTAAGGCACTTAAATACTTAAACGAGAAGCTAAGAACAATCTGTCTCCTGCGGCTCCTGTCTCTTATCAGAGCCTAAAACAACTAAACAGAAAGACAAGCGCACCCCCCTTTAGCACTTCTCATATTCCTAATGCTTTCCCTCGTAGAAACTCACTGATTCACCGCCTGCCCAGGTGCTCTGGGGCAGAGGGGCACAGGCAGGAAGCTGCTGGCCCCATTCTCGGCACATTCGCACCCCCATGGAAATGCTGAAGAGATGACACCACTACGGGTTGAGAGTAAATCTGACATCAGAGACATTAATGGATTGGCTATTTTTCCAACATCTACACAGACAGCAATCATTTAAAGATGACTTCCTCTGGGTGTCATTTTCACCAAGCCACTATGCCAAATAAGGCAGCTCAAGCAGATATTTTCATAACACCGACCCCACTGGGATAGACATTCCCAAGGACAGAGTCACTGAAAGAGATTTATTACAAGAAATGTTTCCTCCTAATGGGATGAGAAAACAGAATGGCTCGGGATGATGACCTCCCCTTCAAAACAAAGTCAAGTTGAAGATGAGAAAAAGTTCTGCAATTCACCCCAATCCTAACAACCTGTGTTGTACAACAAAATTATGTTTGATGAGGACAATCAGTGGCAAAAACGGCTATGAAGTCTGCTCAGAGCCTTTGCTAAAGAAAAATGTCTTACACAAAACATCAAAAGAACTTAAAAACTCAGACACAAAGAAAATTTGTATTTTTCCTTATAGATACAGATTAATATTAAGCAGGCTCCAAATTTGATACCTTCTCATAAGTTCATTTAGATGTTTTTGTTTTTATGACCCTGGACTCCCCAGAACTACCAAGTTTTGTTTTGTTTTTTTTGCCTCAGCTAACACAGTTTAAATCAAACAAACATCAGGCCTGAAAGGGGTGGCCAGATCTATGTGGGGATTTACACAAAACCCACATCGAAAAATAATTAATTACAACAATTAGTCTGTCGTTACTGCAATGTGATTTTCAATTTCCATGAAAATGAAATCAGGAGCACCCCTCCGTTCCTCAAATTCAATGTGTGAAAAACTCCATTGCCCTGACCCTGCAATTCCTACATACACAAAAACCTGCATATCAATTCCTACATACACAAAAACCTGCACATCAATGTTCACAGCAGCATTCCTGACAACAGCACCATTCCTGACACCAGTCAAAAAGTGCAAACAACCCAGATGTCCATCAATTGATGATGGATCAACAGAATGTGGGCCATCCGTACCTCGGCATATCACGCAGCCATGAAAAGGAACAAATGCTGGGGCAAAAGCTACAATGTGGGTGACGCTACAGGATTCCATTTAGAGTCAAGGTCCACAACAGGTACATCCACAAGGACGGAGATGAGTTGGGTGCCGCGACTGGAGGCTGGGAGAACGGAAAGTGACTGTTGATGGACACAGGGCTTCTTCTGGGGGTAATAAAAAATACTCTAGAATTAGTCTGAAGTGATGACTGTACAACCTTGTGAATGTACTAAAAACCAGAGACGTATGCTTTAAAACGGTCAACTTTATGGTATATAAATTAGATCTTAACTGGAAAAAAAAAAAAAGATCAACTCAACCTCTCTCTCTTCCCGCCATTCTGCCATCTGAATCCTAGCAATCTGTATTAGGTAAAAGTCAATTTTTGTGGAAAACATTGTTTTCAATGTTTCAGATAAGGTAATGAGTCTTCCTAACAGGAAAACCTTTGTTCAGTAGACAAATCAACATCGAGTTGCTAGGAAAAATCAACAACTCAGACGCAGAAGCAGAAAAAACTGGAGATCTTCCTAGTAAGTAAGGAAAACACATGCTTTACAACTCCACGCACAAAGCTAAGTCTGTTTGGTTCTTTCTTTTCTCCTTACTGTAGTAACTGACAGTCATCTGGTCACTTACGGATGAAGGGCACACAGAGGCTCTCCGGGGAAGAGGGCTCTGAAAGGCACACTGGGCAGGCCGAGGGCCAGGCGGGAGGGCGCCTCAGAGCCCTGCAGGAGAGAAGCCCCCGCTAGGAGTCCAAGTAGGACAAAGAGGGTCACATCCTTCTAGATCTCAGAGGAAACGGGCAGTGCATCACGGACCCCGTGGAAGCTGTGTCCTGCCTCTGCATCCTCTAGCCCAGCAATCTGCCTCTGAGAGCCCATGTCCAGACACGGATCCAAGAGACATGAAAAGACAGCAGGCCAATGCTAGTTTCAATAATGAAAGCTTACAGGGAGCCATCCCTGGAAAGCATCCAGACCTGATGAAATAAGCAAAACTGGCTAAAAGCGACTCTGTCCATCTGCACTAACATGGAAAGATTTCTACCATGTAGGGGAAAGAAGTGAGTTATAAAATCTTATGAAATGTGCACAAAAAAAAAACCACAAAAGGTTTAGAGATCTCAGAATGGTGGAATCACAAGTTATTTTCCCTTTATTCTTCATTTTTATACTGTATTACTATTTTTTTTTTTTTGAGACAGAGTCTCTGTCACCCAGGCTGGAGTGCAGTGGTGCAATCTCAGCTCACTGTAACCTCTGGTACCCGGGTTTAAGCAATTCTCCCACCTCAGCCTCCCAAGTAGCTGGGATCACAGGCACCTGTCACCATGCCTGACTAATTTTTGTAGTTTTAGTAGAGATGGGGTTTCACCATCTTGGCCAGGCTGGTCTTGAACTCCTGACCTCATGATCTACTTGCCTCAGTCTCCCAAAGTGCTGGGATTACAGGCGTGAGCCACTGCGCTTGTCCTATACTGTATCACTTTTTTTTTTTTTTGGAGACAGAGTTTTGCTGTATTGCCCAGGCTGGAGTGCAATGGCACGATCTCAGCTCACCGCAACCTCCACTTCCCAGGTTCAAGTGATTCTCCTGCCTCAGCCTCCCAAGTAGCTGGGATTACAGGCACCTGCCACCACGCCTGGTTAATTTTGTATTTTCAGTAGAGACAGGGTTTCTCCATGTTGGTCAGGCTGGTCTTGAACTCCCAACTTCAGGTGATCCACCTGCCTCGGCCTCCCAAAGTGCTGAGATTACAGGCGTGAGCCACCGCACCCGGCCACTGTATCACTTTTTTAAAAAACAACTAAATTAATTTCTAAAAAGCAAAACAAACAAACAAAAATCCTCCTGCTGCTCTGGCCAAGGAAAGAAGACGCCTGGGACGCACCTTCTGAGTTCAGGGTGATGAGGGTGACGTTGCTCCCAATGCTCTGGCTGCCCGCCTGTCCGCAGCTGGACACCGAGTCGCTGGCCTCCGAGCCGCTCTCCCCGTCTTCATGGTGGCTGTCTTCTTGGCCCGGCACCTTCACCACAATGGTGTTCTGCCGACGCCCAGGCACAGCGCTGAACGGGAAAAAAACACACCAAGCCAGTGTGGTAAGAGCCACAAGCAGCACGCAAAGGCCAGTGCTTTCCTTATCACAAGATCTAACTCTGCATGGACCAGTGGATCACACAGCCTTCCCAGACCGCTCTCTCTACCAAGATTAATAGCAACTCCATAGGAGAAAATGGCCCGGGGCTAAACGAAACTGTATAAAATAAAACTTAACCATTTAAAGAAAATATTTGTATCACAAAAGAAGTAAAATCATAACTCACTGGGACTCAGGCCTAGTATGCTGCCTTCTGAGTTCAGCAGTCAACCTATAGAATGCTGGTAGGAGTCTTTTTTCAGGCGAGGTTAAAGGAAAGACTAAATCAGAAGACTGTGCCCAGAGGCCTGGGTCAATTCCTCCATGCTGCTGGGCGTGCTGGAGATGGCTCCGCCTCTGCAAAGCAAGCAGCACTCCCAAGTATGCCCACAGGCAAAAAAACCCTGAAGGGGCTTAAAAAACCCACTGAGATCCCATCGGAGCTGCCATCATCCCAAGGGCTGCTGATGTGGAAAGACAGAACACCGCTAGCAAAGCAGGGCGAGGCCAGCTCCACAAGTGCTCAAAAAAAAGATGATTTAGAGACTTACTACTTCCCTTTTTTAATGACCCTTTCAACATCCCCTACCGTGGACTGCTACGCACCAGAAGAGAAAGGACCACAATTTCTCTATTTGCAAAGTCAAAAAAAAGGGGTGCTGAAAACACTGGCCGCACCCAGAGGAGGCTGCACTCTGCGCTTTCTGGCCTGGGTTCTCCAGAGCGCTGTCCATGCTGAACCTGATCTCAACACTGGCTATCTGCCTGGTTGACCTCAGCGCAAAGCCCCCGAGGCACAGCTGACCCTGGCACCTCCTCACCACCCATCACCAACTCCTCTCCCTTCACCCCACGTATCAGACCCTCGTGACCACAGCTGCAGCCCTGGAGAACTGAGCTAAGACAATACGGAAAGGGGACGAAGCTGGAGGAGGAGCAATCCACAAAGGAGACTGAGAGAAAAAGCAAATAGAACTTTGTGAAGACACAGATGGGAAAGAAAAAGCAAGAGCATCCTCAGGGGTTCACGCAGCCCTAAGGGGCACTCCTGGGGAGAGCAGGGCCCGGATGCCAGCCAGAGGCCACTGCACAGCCTTCCCCTCACACAGGGCAGGGATGGCGTCTTCTGTCCACTCCCACCTCTGACCCAAGTTCCGTTCAAAATGTCTCAAGAGAAAAAGGCATAAGAAAAAAGTCATAAACTCAACATGCCTGCACCACTTAGCAATCGTGGGAGAGGGTGTCTGTTTGCCTGACACGCTCTGCACAGACAGACAGACGTCAGGACCACTGAGCTAGGTGGGAGGATGAATGCTTTCACTGACTGCTGTGAGGAGACAGAGCCAGCCCCCTCCACAACCCCAGCCAGCACGAGACACGGAAGTCCCCGGCGGCAGCTGCCCCCTGGTGTGGCTGGACTCAGCACTCAGCATCACCCAGCCTGCCCTCCCCGACCTCAGAGAGCTGGGGCGGTGCCTGCCAAGCTCAACCCTGTGACCACAGAGATGAAGTGCGTGCTGGACTGTGCCCTGGCTTGGGGACGTTGACTTATTCTCACGGGACTCCTCACAGTGGCAGGGAAAGGTGGGGTTGGTGCCGTGCTACTGACTTGCTAATGACATTTTCCAGGGAATCCGGTGCCCTGTTGCTCAAGGGGTCTTCCATCTTGGCTACAATGGCGTTCTGCCGATCATTGTTGAGTATTACTGTAGTCTGGGGGACGACGCTAGGGAACAAAAGAATCACAAAGAAAAAGAAGGCCTTAAAACAACAACATTCATGGTAAGAGCACATAAGAGTCATTCAACACAGTCCACTCCCAGGGACCCGCAGTGAGGGGGAGGCCTAAGAGTCATTCAACACAGTCCACTCCCAGGGACCCGTCCTGAGCGGGGAGGAGCCCCAAACGCTAAGGAAGAATAAACTGGAGATGGGGTTTTTAACAGCGTAACTTTCCTAATTGTTGGTGTTCTGTCTGCACAACTGGATAGGCTCAGGACAGCCGGGATGAGGATGCTGAGTGTGTGACACAGAACAGACTGCGACCACACCAGCTGTTATCACACCCAGTTAATAAAGCTTCTGGGGTGACACACTTGCACGAAAACCGGCTTGACATTTTCAGTCACTCCATCCCAACTAATTCCTATGGTACAGATCTAACGTTCGTAACCATGTAAGTGTTGGTATCGTCCAAAACGGTAGCGCCCTAGAAAGAAAGGGGCAAACATCACAGTGGATTGGGATGGAAGGACACACGTGCTGCCTCCAGGTTGTGCAGGAACATGTGTGAGCCACAACCACAGGGCTCAGGGTTCTGCTTTGAAGGAAACAATTCTACCAAAGAACAAACCACGGCCCAGAAACCACCAAACCTGGTGCCACCCTGGAGGAAGCACTAGTGTGTTCAGACAGGCGGGCTAACACAGCTTCATCTCAAAGTGCAGACTCACCCACAGATTTCAATTGTGCGTTTTTAAGCCTTAGCACTTTCTGGTCACAAGGGATATCTAAGGTACACTTTGTTGTGGAAGGGTGGGGAGAGAAGGAACTAGCACTTGAAATACAAAGTGGTTATCACCTGAGGATAAAACACCGTTCTTGAACTTCACTCTCCAAAAACCAGCTTGGGAAGCCTCTGCCTTTCTGTGATGTGCCCACAGGAAAATCCAGCCTAGCGTCCCTGTAACTGTCCCCACATTGAGTGCGAGCACAGCGCCATGCCATGCCCGAGTAAATCACGGGACCACAAGGTTTTCTTCCTAAAATAAAGGCATAATCAACTGCATTTAATTCAAAAATACTATTTTTAAAATTCCTCTACTTGTTATTGGTGACACCTAAAGTTAACACAACAAAACCTGATAAATGACCTACAGATCGGGTATGAAAAGCAGCCCAGGTGGCTGCTGGCTTGGTCACCACAGTCACCTACAGGCTGCAACAGTCCTATGCTCCTCAGAGATGTGGAACTGGAGAGGTTACCTGGCTTGCACGAGCTTGGTATATTCTCCAAGTGGAGGCTATGGAACACTGGTGCCCCGGGATCCTAGGCTCACAGCATGTGGGAAGGCTGGTGTCCCGGGATCCTAGGCTCACAGCATGTGGGAAGGCTGGTGTCCCGGGACCCTAGGCTCACAGCATGTGGGAAGGCTGGTGTCCCGGGATCCTAGGCTCACAGCATGTGGGAAGGCTGGTGCCCCGGGACCCTAGGCTCACAGCATGTGGGAAGGCTGGTGTCCCGGGATCCTAGGCTCACAGTGGGAGGCTGGTGGGACCTAGGCTCACAGCATGTGAGAAGGCTGGTGCCCCGGGACCCTAGGCTCACAGCATGTGGGAAGGCTGGTGTCTCCGGATCCTAGGCTCACAGCATGTCCACACACACATTCATTCTCTCTCTCCCCCCATGAGCAACTGAAGAAGGACGGTGCTGCTGAGTGGCCAGCAGTCCCCTAATGACTCTTCACAGTGGCCACTGGCACATTAACGGTCTGAGAAGAAAGTTTAACAGAGTAAAATGTATTCAGGCCACCATCTGGCAAGGTCATTTGATCAAATATACCTTTTTTCCCTTGAAGATACTTATTAAGGTGAAGGAAATCATGTTCTAAGGCAACCAGCTCCCAGCTGGAATAATGTGCCCCTCGGGTGCCCCACAGCTTTCCGGGGGGCTCGTGGATACAGACAGCTCTCAGCAACACAGTCTCCAGATCCCCACCTTCCAGAACGTCCTGTTTCCTAAAGAGGACTCTCCGTGAGCGAGCATCTCGATGTGTGTGTTCCCTTCCACAAAGCCCTTTTCCCACCTAAAAACCACCTCTGCTCTGAGCACACTGGACGCACCATCCACCTAGGGCGCAGACCCCAGGAGCCAGCACAGGCCACCTGAACACTGGCATGGTGGTGACAAAACCAGCGCCTCGCCGGCTGACTACAAAGCCCTCGGTAAGTCAGCTGGGTTGCAATCCTTTGCTTTCAACAAAACAGATGGAGATCATCAAAAACAGTTTCTGAGGACGGACCACTGAGACCCCTGGCACATAACTCAAGGAAGCTGAGGACTCCTTCCTCTCCCACATATTACTGGTGTGACCCGAGTTTCCCAGTACCCTAGAGCTACAAAAACCAAAAACAGCAGAACCAACGTAGAATCCTCTCTCATCTAAGCAGTCAAACATAATCAATCATCCATCGATACAATAATTAACCAAAAAGCCCCATCTAACTACTCAAAAATATATTCCCAGTATTTTATTATCAAGAATTAGTTCTAAGTGGGTGACACAGTCACACTGTTTTGTTCAACCACTGTAGTAGGAATTCAATCCAAAAGGGGTTTTTTTTTTTTAGCCCTTAGGGCCTTATGGTTAGGAACACAAACTTTTTCAGCTTCGATTTACATCCCTGTTTCTGTTGCCCAGGCACGCGACAGCCATGCTAACAGGATGAAATTCTGTGAGGGAAATGAAACGGAAAGCAAAGTTCAAAGACCAGAAAGTGATAGAACATTCGACTGCCAAAAGCTTACTGGAGAGACGTTCAAAATGCATCATGATATTTACATTATAATGGAAAAATTAAAAAAAAAAACAATAAACCAGTTGTGTTTTTAATGATCAATATTATAATGTGCTGTAAAAGTAATTTATTTTAATGTTTAAAAAACGCCAGAAACTACATGCTTTCAACTAATGCAATTTAAATCAACCTCAAATTGCACAAAAGAATACATTTTTTTAAAATTATGGAACAGTAAGGAGAATGAAGTGGAAAGGACTGATGTGGAAAAAGTGCCACAACAATACTAAGCAACAAAAAACACAGGTAAGTACAGACACATATGTGTGTGCATTGAAATGTGTCTGTAAGGATAGTCAAGAAACTGAGAAGCAGGTCACTGAGCCTCATGAGACGGGCCCTGCAGCATCTTCACAGCACAGACAGCAGCCCACGCAGAGAAGCTATTAACCTGCTCAAGGCCACACAGCCAGTGAATGGCAAAATCAGGTCTGAGGCCAACATACAATATGTGACAGGAGCTGACATTCCTAACCAAAACCACTCTGACCCACAGCCCTCAGCCTTTCATCTGTTTTGCCATCTCCTCACTACGCTTTAGTTTTCCACGCGGCCTTCCCCTGTACGGGGTCCTTCTGCTCATCCAGTGGTGTCTCCCAAAGTCCCTAGGAGAATGCACAGGACATGGCTGAAGACTGTTCGGGACACGGAGGAATTCAAGAGTGAGCCTCCCATTTGAGTAAAATGCCTCTCGATCCGCTGGCTCACATGCTGCTGCTCTGCATGCTGAAAGCAAAGACTGAGAATCCCGACCCAGAGCAGAACCCACCAAGCAGGATGCCAAAAGGCAGCCTAGAATGTTCCCATCCACTGTGCAGGGTCAGTTCTGAATTCCACCAGGAGGTGCTAAACTAAAGGTGACTTAAAGTCTGAGGGCTGACTGGCAGGAGCTGGCAGCCACCATGAGACCCAGCCTGGAGTGGGCACTCGGGGACCCACCAGGAAGTAACAGTCTTCATTCTGCTGAGCTCAAGGAGTACTGAGTACTTCGTGTACATGTCTCGCTCCCAGCCATCTTGGCTATTTTACCCACTTTACCATGAAGACACTGATGCTCAGAAAGATTAGGATCTGTCCCAGGTCTCACCACTTACCAGTGACAGAACCCGTGTTCAAAACTAAGTATTTCTCATGCTTTTAGTCACCTGCTGGACAACAACGGCAATGATCCTATTTAAAGTACTGCTACAACTCACCCTTTCACTGTTTGAGTTTTTTAACTGTTTTACTTTGATGGATTTAAAACAAAACCTCTTCAGCCAGGCGCCCTGGCTCTCACCTGTAATCCCAACACTTTGGGAAGCTGAGGCAGGCAGATGGCTTGAGCCCAGGAGTCCAAGACCAGCCTGGGCAACACGGTGAGACCCCATTTCTACAAATAAAACAAAATAAAATCTTCCACTCTGAAAGCTGTCATGGCAAACATTTTCCACGCTAAAGCTTATAAAGTGGCCTTCCACTTCTCTTCTGCTTCAGGGAACCACCTCATCTCGGAGCCCTAAGCACCTGCCCCATGCTCTAGGCAACTGGCAGGGCGGCCCCTGTTGCTCGTGGACCACACAAAATGGAGCACATGTGAACAGACATCAAGAGGCTTTGTTCAAGTACACGCAAAACAAGCCACCAAAATAAGACATAACATTAAAAATCTTAAGAAATGCAAGATTTGAACTGTTTTCACAAATTTGTGTTTGCCATGTTTTATTACAAAAGGAAATGAAAACTAAGTTATTCTGAAGCAGAGACTTGAAAACCTACGCAATGGTTCAGAGACAATGACACGGGAAGGAGGAGGAGAGCAACGCTGAGGACCAGAGCCCAGCCAGTACCCGGACGAGGGCCCAGCAACGCTGAGGATCAGAGCCCAGCTGGCACCCAGACAAGGGCCCAGCAACACTCAGGACCAGAACCCAGCTGGCACCCAGATGAGGGCCCCGTAACACTCAGGACCAGCGCCCCGCCAGCACCCAGTACGAGGGCCCAGGCAGCACTTCAGAGCAGCAGAACATCTGACCCATGCAGCCAGTGAGCAGAACCCAAGAGCCCTCGCAGCAGAGGTTAGCATCGGAAGCCAGCTCCAACTAAGTGGCTCAGGCCGCTGAGACGCCGGGTGGGTCCCGGTCTGAGACTGGGGCTAGGCTCCATGAA